CAGGCCAGAAGTGCTGCAGAGATGAATCACTATTATCCAAAGGCCGCCAGCCTCTTTGCCTTCTGACAGAAGGATAATTCCACGTGGATCAAATAAATACAGATGTGTAGTAATTAGTTCTATTCCCAGTGAGCCTATTTCCCACACACTAAAGATGTGAGCGATTATAGAGCCTCACCCCAACAGCTTTTATCAATTTAAACTGCTAAACAACAGGATAGGTCATAACCCAGCCTGCTATTAATAATGCATTTATGGTGTGCAACATTATAAATTAGGTGCATGGACTAGAAAAAAGAACACCTTTTAACAAGAATGATATGCTCTTCCCCCAGAAGCAACATATGTGCCTGGCAACTCACCTAAAGTACAGTCCCAAGGCAATCAAAAGGATAAAAAACCTCATCAGTGGAAGAGATGCCTACATTGTCAGCGGGTTCCTCCACAAAGATGATCTGGCCGTGGCGGATATGTTAGATGTACCCATCCTGGGTCCAGAGCCTGAAATAGCTCATCTTTATAGCACCAAGTCTGGAAGTAAACAGATGTTTGCCAGCGCCAATGTGCCGTTCCCTCCTGGAATATCTGACATCTTCAGTCACCAGCAGGTATGCGGGGCGGAAAAGAGAGGCTCTGTTCAAATGTAGCACATCCTCTTGAAGTTGCGGGGACCTCAGGCCTTCTGGAGCCAGCCCTGCCCAGTGCAGATTATGTGGAATACTTGAGTTGATTTGTTAGGTCTACTTTAGGACTTCATGTTTAAAAGTATTGTCCTTGAAAAATACTAACTCATTTGGATTAAGACATTGAAGACCCTGTTAGTGCACCAATATGCTATCAATATTGATTGTCTCGACAGGGATTATTTAGTTCATCGTCATATTAGCTAGCCAACCATTGAGCAGGTCCCTGAGAAATGGGAAAGACAATTTTAGCTCAAAGGAGCCAGTTTGGAAAGCTCCACGAGGGGCGCCTTTCAGTCAAGGCAGGTGGCAGAGGGCCTATGGCAGAGGGCTGCAGACATCCTTCGCTGGTACAAAAATCCTTTGGTCCCCCAGGAAGGAGCCATAAAGGGAGGAGTGTACATTACATTAAACAATTTCCAAAACCCTAAAATGTATGTGCAATAGTTGTATTGAGTCTTGCTTTCATCTTCACTGGTTGAGAACTCAGGCAGTCTTTGCCATGAAATGTGGTTAAAGATGCAGGCACATCCAATGCAGGAAAACCTTCCTCTAGTGCTGGTGTTCAGAAGTAGGATTTAAAACTTCCTTGTAGACACATCAGATTTGAGATGTGTCATTTCACCTATGGCACATGCAAATTGCATCACCTTAAACAGATTTATAACTGAGCTCTACTCTACTTGTTTGGAAAACATACGTCTGAGGTCATCAAGAATTGAGGTACTCCACTGAGATTTTTCCAGATACTGACTATCCTACCTAAGCTATCTGAGTGTGTCAGCGTTTTGAATTCGCAGATGGCGATGAATCAATAGCACTGACTTTTACCGCTGTGCATCATAAACTTAAAGCTGGTGAAGGAAAGCTGTGATCATCTTAATTTAGGTTAATAAATATTCCTGACTATCAGTTGGATTTTAGCAGTAGTCATTTTTCTACTTCTGCTCTATACCAGTGTAAAAGGAATGGCAATTTAAGATTATATTACATCTTTTGAACAGATAAACTCAAACAAAGAATCATAAATGTTTTGAAAGCGTGTAAAGTCATTTGGTTTATGATTAAGTAATTTATTTAGTTTTTAAGTCTAGTGTGAGCACTGTGAGCATTTCCTGTTTTGATCCATAAAGTAACCATGCAAGTTCTTTTTCTGGCATATGCTCCATATGAAATATTGACAGCTTTGGTTAAATAAGCAAAAATAGTGGTGCTATTTTAAAGCACTGTTCAATTTTCACTTAAAGATAGCACATAATTCTTTCCCATGGTGCAGTCTTTACAATATTATTGATCCTTTTCATACTGTAGGGGATCCATCAACAGACGCCCATTTATAGGATTCTCAGAAGCAACAAATAACAGGATTTGGAAGAAACAGTGATAATTTTGTTAGTAGTTGAGTCTCTGAATACACAATATTTCCAAATATACAATAAAAATGCTATGCCAGAACACCTTTTCTTACACCAGCAAAGTAATTTTATAAAATACTAGAGGCCCGATGCATGAAATTTTTGCAAGGGGTTCGGCCCCCGCCGCCGCTGAGGCTGCCTGTGCCTCAGCCCCCGCCACCAGGCTTCGTCCAGAAGGTCGTCCAGAAGGGCGTCCAGTCTAATTAGCATATTATGCTTTTATTAGTATAGATTACTCACCAAAGACTATTTCTACTTCTGCAAAGTATGATCATAATACAGCTAAATATGATGAAATATAGAATCTATCTTCTCAACACAATACCAGAGAAAGAAGGGATGTAACTTTAGAAGGCTCATTTAAAAACCTTTATAGGCAAAGCTCATAGCTACATGGTGGGTAGACCAGAGTACTTGTAATTTAAATACTCAAATTATCCACAGACACTACTTGATAATTAGGGAACTAAGACAATTCCATGTCCACCCTATTTGAATACCCCATGATCGCACGGGGCTTCCAGGGATCCCAAGAATGCCTGTTTTGATGTCACTTCCACACTGCTGGGTAGTGTAACATCCCCAGGAAGAACAGCTGAAAAAACACAACTCAAGAAAACAGATTGTACCTTTAATCAAAATAATTTTAATCTTCCAGCTCCGTACTTCAACAGAACCACAATCTTTAGTCCTTTCACACGCTTTAGCTAAAAAACATTCCATCTGGTGACCAAAACGTCATCCAAAGAGAAGAGAATAGGAGTGTTGCAGCCTCGCTGGGCAGCTCAGATGGGTTAGAGTGTCATCCCAACACACTGAGGCTGTCAGTTTGATTCCCAGTCGGGGAATATACAAGAAACCAATCTATAATAATAAAAGCGTAATATGCTAATTAGACCGGTCATCATTCTGGATGTCCTTCCAGACAAAGCAGGGGCGGAGGGAAGAAGCCTAGGTCCTGGGTGCCAGAGGGAAGCCGGTGCCAACAGCCAGGGAAGGGAAGGCCTATACTCTTGCATGAATTTTGTGCATCGGGCCTCTCTAGTGAATACATAAATAAGTGGAACAACAAATTGATGTCTCTCTCTCTCTCTCTCTCTCTCTCTCTCTCTCTCTCTCTCTCTCTCATCAATAAATAAAAAAGATATGTTGCAGAGACCTCCTCAAGTATAAGTGACCATAGCCAAGTACAGCAGTGGGTAGGCTCATCAGAGCAAATGCTTAGTAATGCTTTGCTTCTTTCGGGGAAGTATACAAGTACACTGGAAAGTCTGATGAGAAGACAAAACACACACACACATCATTTTGTGATTTAGTGAGTTATTTTTCTCCAAGGCTCTACTAGAACCGTATGACTTATAATTAAATAATATTGCTTTAGATTTTTGTCTGACTCAAACTTATCCCAAATGGCTATTGGTGGGAAGGAAAGTTGCTTCTTTTTTAACTTCTCCTTCCACCCACCTCTCCTCCTCCTCTCTGCAGGTTGAGCTAGGCAGCCCAGTGGAGAGAGAATGAGCTTAGGTGTTGGAGTCAGGGCAACCTGGGCGGAGTCTCTGCTCTGCCGCTCGGTTCTGTGTGATCGTGGGCCTGTTATTCAAATTTGCTGGCTCTCAGTTATTTATATATGAAATGAAACTAAACATGGTGCCTGCCTAATAGGTTTTGTGAGTATTCAATTTAAAAATAAACTCATGTAGAGAGCTTAGTCAAAGGCCTGGCTCCTGCTGAGAGTTCAGCAATGTTAGATAGTATCATCATTATCACCATGATATTAGAGCTTGAACTTTTACCCCTTAAACTTCCATGTGATGGAGCCCAGTTCCTGAGGGAATACCGTGTTAAATAGGATAGGTGTGTATTCCAGGAACATTGCTTCCATGAACGTTTTATCTCCTTATCGCTCGTGTTCATATAATACATATAATATAATGCACTTGGCCAATTGACCAGCCAAACAAATGCATTTCATGTATGTTAATGAGGAAAATGTTAAATATTTTATGGGTTATAATAGTGGTCAGCAAACTCATTAGTCAACAGAGCCAAATATCAACAGTACAACGATTGAAATTTCTTTTGAGAGCCAAATTTTTAAAACTTAAACTATATAGGTAGGTATATTGTTATTAACTTAATTAGGGTACTCCTAAGCTGGCCTTTGCTAAAAACATCCTCAATCTGATTGAGGTACATTCGCTGAGGTGGACCCCTTTCAACTCTCCCATCCACACTCGTCTTGTATACTTGTTTCGTCTATTTCAATGGTCGGCAAACTCATTAATCAACAGAGCCAAATATCAACAGTACTTCTTCAAAATAGACTCACCCATGCTGAAAACCGACTTCTGTGCATGGGCCACGAAGTTTCAATCTCCCTGTACGTGCTCGCTTGCACGTGGTATTTTGTGGAAGAGCCACACTCAAGGGGCCAAAGAGCCGCATGTGGCTCGTGAGCCGTGGTTTGCTGACCACTGGGTTATAACATTTAAAAGCTCAACAAAGCACCAAATAAAGTTTTCAAGAATATAAATCTTTATAGTCTTCAAACTATAAAAATATCATTTGAAGAATCAATAAGTAAACACATAATTCTCTGAAAAGGAAAAAAAACAATACCAAAATTCAATTCTTTATTTTGCCTTGAAAAGCAGGCAAATGGTAATTTCAGTTTCTCATAAATAGGACTATACTTTTAAACGTGCCTTTAGTCCCATTGGTTAGTGGTTTCTTCACATCATCTCTACATCATTTAATACTTCTCCCAGTCTGTCTTAATAACTAGAGGATAACCTAATGAACAGACCATTTGAAATAAAGACACTTGAAAAGTACAACTATACTTTTAAACTTGCCTTTAGTCCCAGCTACATTAAATGTTGCTATGTCTTCATCCCCACAGATGATAGAACAGCTGACTCAGCTGATCATCGATCACCCGGAAATCCAACGCTGGCTCTTTAAAATGGACTATGAATTTGGAGGAAATGGGACTGCGTTTTGTGACATTCTTTCCCACCTCCAGTGCCATGACTGGCTCCTAAAGGAGTATAACAAATACAGCCGTGAAGACTGGCGCAAGAAATGGGCACAGGTGAGTATTCAATGGTGACAGAAATCCACAGCGTCTGTATTGTTAGGAGATGAAGCAAAAGGCTCAGCAAGGAGGGGGAGGCACTTTCTTCAAGGCTCAGCAGTGTCACCTGCCAGCAGTGAGACCTTGGGCATTTTACCTTTCTGAGGCAATGGGGTTGATTAGGTTATCGTAAATGTCCTTTCATTGGGCCCTAAAAGTCTTCATTCATGTCTTCAAGTTGATTATGATTATTAGGAAGTAATTTTTTAAAATCATATTCAGGTAACATTACAAGTCTCATCATTTGCTCTAAGTGGGTCTGATCATATGCTTCTAAGAACTGACATGAATAAGCTACCCGCATTTTATTATGAGAGAGAAATTCTATTAGTAAATGGTTGTCACCTGGAAGCTAATGTATAATAGCATTCTATCAGCAGTCATATGTTTCTGAAGTCAATTCAAGGAAATTTGTGTAACTGCTGGTCCCTGTGCGATGTTGAGAAAATAGTACATCCTGCCCAGAAACTCTCCAGGCCAAAGCCGAACAATAGGCAAGAAATCTTAGCATATAAGTGGTTGTGTAGAGACTTTTCCATGTATGTTGGTGGAAGGATGAATTGTACAACTTCTTAGTCTGTTCCAAACTTGCTTAATAATTAAAGTTATCTTATATGGCTTACTATATAAATTAAACCCACCATTCTAAACGCTGCCTCACTTTGCATCCAGAGTCTAGACTAGCCTGGCTTCTCTTAATCCCAAATCTCTGTCTTGGCTGACCTCCTCGTGACAGCATAACTGATGAGGAAAATTCAGACGTAAATTCCCTTCACCGGTTCCTTCCCTACTGACGTGCTTAACAGTGGGCTGCGCAGTGATTTGCATCTCCTCTGAGCATCCCACCGCAGAAGTCTATGAATCAAAACACAAGTGATAGGAAGGGAGGGGCACTCCAGAGAGAACTGCATTATTCTTGTGAAAGTGAAACAACGAATAAATCTAGAGAACAGTCAGAAGAGAGAGTTCCCTTTGACAAATGTGTCTGTTCTCCCCATGATCTATCCTGGGCTTTTCTTCCCCCTCCGTCAGAGAATGGACTAAATGCAGTACCTGTCATGGCCAGCTTTTTACATATTATTTAAAGGATACCAAAGTGAATTACTCTCCTAGGAAAAAAATAAAACAAGGAAAATGTATTTAATTTTGAGGCCCACAGAGGGTTCTCTTTGAACTGGATTTTATTTCATATTGTATAGTGTTTTCTTTTTAAAGCAAAACTGTGGAGAGTCAATGGTGAAAATAGGACTTTTTCATTTAAAAAATTGAAATGTTAGTGGGCTGGTCTTAATATTTCAAACCAATATATTTTTTTAATTCTCCTGAAACTAGACAATGATAAATTTAAAATATTTGACTTTAGGTTTAAAAAATATTTAAAATATTGACACTGGCTGAATTGCACTTGGAAGCCTAACTATACATTATTTACTTTCAGTTATTTTAAACTATACCATTTTAAATTGTCACCAAACACTTTTGGCATTATCATGAATGTTATTAAATGTGAAAATCTTGAATAATTAATAATCTATTGAAATCTTTTTTTTAACTTAATAAGGAAAAAATAATTATTCAGAAATCTTTTTAATCTTTGAAACCTGTGCTTAGCCATGGTCATTTTGGTTAGAAGCCAAATATAAAAATAAAAAATAAAGCAGCTCTGAAGAGCTTTTTTCTTGGGGGGGGGGAATTATTGACATTCTTTTGCCTTCAAAGTGAAATTGTACCCAGAGTGGAAGTGAACTGCCATCTCCATTGAGTGTAGCTATTGAGGATTTAGGATCAGAATTACCCTTTGTTCCAGAAGACCATCATAATGGTGCACATTTAGACATCAAAGCATTACTTTATGAGCACAGGCATGTTTTAATGTCCTATTACAGTTTGTGGACCTGTTTCTTTTCATAATGAAGATGTTGTGTCATCAAGCCTAGCCCGGCACATACAAAACATATGCTGGCAGGTTATTAAAAATTTCAGCTTCTTGATGAAAGACTATCCTGCAGGCTAAGAGTCCAGAGAAAGACTCCATTCTGGGAGAATTATTAGAAATGAGATTATGACTGTAAGCACTAAATTATGTTAATACTTACAAATAGCATCATTTGCATAGCAGTTTATGACACGATACCATGATTTTTCTCATTGGTATATTGTAGGCAACAGATTAAAAACAGGGCTGTTTATGGGAGTTGGAACTGTTTTGAGATTCTCTTGCGTCTTACGTGGATATTGGTTTTAGATGGAGGCATCATTCAGTGTAGACTCAAGGATCCAATATAAAGGCCATCTTTTTTTCCTACCTATCTAAGTTAGAATCGGTTATTTAACTGGTTGGGGTTGAGCTTTGAAACAAGGTCATGGAGTCAACAAATGCTGAAAAGCTGTAGTCACATTTTAAAAATCAGTATAGACATGTCGGTCATTTTAGGGAAAACGGAATGTTACATGATGGCCACAGTAAAAATGGGGCACAAATCTCATTTTGTTCGTGGTGGCTCGGTACAAACCTCATTCTCTTCATCCTACCAGGTAACAAAACCTCATGCTCCAGGAGGTACTTCTTTAGTAGGAATAAAGGCTTTCGTCAAGGAAGGCACGCTTGTAGGGGAAAGTCTTCCTGGACACACTCACCTAAGGCAGTGTAGGGAGACCAGGTGGACATTTGCTGTGGTGCCAGTCCTTGCAGTGCTTCCTTTCTATTTCCATTTTTAAAGGGTAAATCTTCCCTCCCTCATTCCTGGGAGATTGGCGTGGTGGCCGTGATGCTACAGGTGACGCCGCTTTTTGAGAGATCTTTGTCGAACGGCTTCTCCATAGAGAGAGCTAAACCAGTTTACTTTTGGGTTTCCTGGCAGACCTTCTTTGGGCCTCTGTTTCCCTGGGTGGATGGTATAAACTGTAGAGGTCTTGGCATCACAAATTTTCCACTTACAAGAAAAAGGAGAAAAGGGAAACTGAACTGGCCCTAAGCTACTATATAATATTTGTATTTTAGCCCTGGGCAAGAGAAGTTGTACCTGTATTTGCACTTTGGTGTACTTTGTTAAACATTATTGAGCACCTATTCACCAGTATAGTCCAAGCCTTTTGAGGTATACTGTTATATTTCATACTAGAGGCCCAGTGCACAACATTCGCGCACTCAAGGGGAGGGGTCCCCTCAGCCCAGTCTGTGCCCTTCAGCAATCCAGGAGCCCTCAGGGGATGTCCAACTGATGGTTTAGGCCCGCTCTCTGTGGGGAGAGGGCCTAAGCCAGCAGTTGGACATCCTTAGTGCTGCTGCAGAGGAGGGAGAGGCTCTCGCCACCGCCGCTGTGCTTGCCAGCCGTGAACCCAGCTTCTGGGTGAACGGCACTCCCACTGTGGGAGCACACTGACCACCAAGGGGCAGTTCCTGCATTGAGCGTCTACCCCCTGGTGGTCAGTATGCATCATAGAGACAGGTCGTTTCACCGTTCAGTCGATTTGCATATTACCCTTTTATTATATAGGATACATATAATCTAATAAAAGAGAAACATGCAAATTGACTGTACCTCCACTACATCCACAAGCCACGCCCACAAGCCAATCAGGAGCAAATATGCAAATTAACCCAACTAAGATGGCAGCGGCCACAGAGCTAGAGCAAGCAGGAGGCTTGGGTTGCCCCCAGCAATGGAAGAAGCCAAGCTTCCTGCCTGCCCTGCCGGCCCTGAGCTCCACTCAAGGCTACAAAGTTTCAATTATGGAAGATAAATAAATCCCAGATACTTGCTTCCAGCCCGCGGCTATAGCCAGCCTGAAAATG